AACGCCTCTATTTAAAGTGTTACTAAACCCAGATGCCTGCATTCCCTATATCCGGTCTCCCCGGACCCCGCAGTCACTATATCCGGTCTCCCCGAACCCCGCAGTCACTATATCCGGTCTCCCCGAACCCCGCAGTCACTATATCCGGTCTCCCCGGACCCTGCATTCACTATATCGGTCTCCCCGAACCCCGCAGTCACTATATCCGTCTCCCCGGACCCCGCATTCACTATATCCGGTCTCCCCGGACCCCGCTTTCACTATATCCGCTCTCCCCGGACCCCGCATTCACTATATCCGCTCTCCCCGGACCCCGCATTCACTATATCCGCTCTCCCCGGACCCCGCATTCACTATATCCGCTCTCCCCGGACCCCGCATTCACTATTCACTATATCCGCTCTCCCCGGACCCCCGCATTCAACTATATCCGGTCTACCCCGCATTCACTCTCCCCGGACCCCGCATTCACTATATCCGCTCTCCCCGGACCCCGCATTCACTATATCCGCTCTCCCCGGACCCTGCATTCACTATATATCTGCTCTCCCCGGACCCTGCATTCACTATATCCCCGGACCCTGTATTCTCTCCCGGACCCCTGCATTCACTATATATCTGGCTCTCCCCGGACCCCGCATTCACTATATCCGCTCTCCCCGGACCCACATTCACTATATCCGCTCTCATTCACTGGACCCCGCATTCACTATATCCGGTCTCCCCGGACCCTGCATTCACTATATCCGGTCTCCCCGGACCCTGCATTCACCTGGTCTCCCCTGACCCATTCACTATATCTGGTCTCCCCGGACCCTGCATTCACTATATCTGGTCTCCCGGACCCGCATTCACTATATCTGGTCTCCCCGGACCCTCTCCCATTCACTATATCTGGTCTCCCACAGTACACAGAACATGGAAATGCAATTATTTTAGTAAATATAAAACTGCTGAATACAATTTCTCATCAGTAGTTAGAGCAGTCTTTTGACTTCTATCAATGTCCAGCCAAGCACTGGTTAAAGCTTGTAGGGGGAATTTTCATTCTGCTCTAAGAGGATGCAAGACCATTGACCTCTGTCTGGACAGTGCTGATTGGCTCTGTGCTAATCACATGCGCTCTCCCAAGAAGAAAAAAAAAAAAAAAACCTCTCTACCAACACACACTAAACTGAGCATGTCATATGTCTTATCAGGAGATAAAAGGGGGCCACTGGAAGGGGGGATCAGAGAAGTCAGGATCAAACAGCATTTATACACAATGCAGAGGATTAACCCCTTAGGTTCCACAGTGAGTATAACAAGCATGCTTTACTGCATCTACAGACTGATTGTACTGTTGTGGGTTTAGTAACACTAAGTTTATTAAATTTCATATATATAATTTTTCTTTTCTGTGTTACTTTCAATAAATGTTTTTTCATGTTACTGGATTGTATTTTTTAAATTCAGATTCATTTAAATTCATGATATTAAATAAAAGTTGAATATAATAGGTTTTCAGCCAAGTGCATCCTGAATTTTCGGTCCATAATTTTCATTTTGGTGCACCACTAGTATTTTCTGTCCATACTGAGCGCCAACACTGGGAAATGTGTAACTCGAGGGCCTGTTCATCCCAATGTGTGAACACCTGCATTAAGGTTAAAAAAATATTTTTCCACTTGCTATGCCCTTCCCCCCCCTCCTCCAAATACCTGAATCCTGTATTGATCCAGCCCTGTGCCCATCTGCTGGTCTTCTCTCTCCTCCCTCACAAGCTTGGCTGAGAGTTAGTTAAATCCTGTGAGCAGAGAACAATGGTAGGGGCTGAGCTGCGCTGTGTGTGTCAACTGACGCACACTGCCCGTCTCGGGTTTGAGCTCCCATGTTTACCCCAATAGCAAGTGCTTGCTAAGGGGGCAGACACAAAAGAGGAGGAGCCAAGATTGCTGATGGGAAAGGAGGTAAAACCATTGCACAAAGCAGGTGAATATAATATATTTATTATTTAAAGTGGTTGTAAACCCTTACATATACCCAGTGAGGTGACTGGTCTCAGGTGATACACAGAGATTAAACAAACCTCCTACATAAGTTGTACCTGTTTGTCTGGAGTATTCTCTCCTCTACATACAGTGAAAGTGCTGGATTTATAAAGCTTGTAGAGCTGTCAAAAAAACTGGGCGGAGAGCCGAAGATACAGAAGTCAGTGAGGGACCTTTTCCGATCATGTGACCGCAGTGACAACGAATCACGGCGGTCAAATGACCCTAAAACCCCACCCGCCTCCCGGCTTCTGAAACTCTTAAAGGGCAAGGAGGTGCCGGCGCAAAGGGGTTACATTTCAGCAGGACACTTCTGCACTGTGAGAGTGCCTAGGCACCCTCTACACTTCCTGCATGTTGAAGGGACCATGCCAAAGTTGAAAGTCTCAATTTACATATCCAGCTTCCTACACTCAGCTTAGGACACATCAGGAGAAAGAAAACATTTTTGTGTAGGGTGCCCAGAGGTGTTGAATACTTGATTTTCTGTAGCAGCTGTAGTTCCTCCTGGCGGCTCCTGCCTCCCATCTGGCAGGCTGAATACTTGAAGTGGCCGGGAGGTGGAGAAGCTGAGGATTTTGAATACATGGGCCACAAAAAAGGTAAGAATGTTCACAGTTCTTTTACAGGTGAACTATTGGGTATACTTACAGCCTAAGAAGCTCAAAGCTGTATTAAACCCAAACCAAAACTGTAATATATTGCTGCTTACCAATTATTATATGTGGTGGCTGCATTAGTTTTCTTTTTTTTTAGGCTTTTTTCCACTCTGTTTTCACCTGGATATCTGTCCAGCAACACTCCTCCTGTATCTGAGTGCTCCGGAAGAAGGAGCACAGGGTGTACAGCAGTAGAAATGCACCAAAATTCCGGTTGCCGAAACGTTTTGGCCAAAAAACCCCTTTGGGCTGTTGGCCGAAATGAAAAAAAAAGCACCGATAGAGGTGCCAAAAAAAACCCCGTCCCTCAGAGCTGCCCGTCCCTCAGAGCCGCCCGCCCCTCAGAGCCGCCGCCGCCCTCAGAGCCACCCCCCTCAGAGCCACCCGCCCCTCAGAGCCACCCGCCCCTCAGAGCCACCCGCCCCTCAGAGCCACCCGCCCCTCAGAGCCACCCGCCCCTCAGAGCCACCCGTCTGCTGCTCAGTAGTTCAGCCTTACCTGAGAAACCATCGATCCCGGCGTTGGGCATAGAGATGAGAGAAGGAAAGATGGCTGCCACACATCTTGGAGGACCGGAGTGATGTCACTTCTAGCCATTTTTTTTTTTTAAAGCACTAGATCAATGCTTTTTTTTTGTTATCTAATGCTTTACATTGCAGAGGAGAGATGTGTGGTCTTATTGACCCCATATCTCTCCATAAAGAGGACCTGTCACTATCCATTTCTACCACTATACAGCAGCATTGTCAGTCTGTGGGTATGGGAGTGTTAGATGTACTAGCATATTTAGATACACTAACACACTGAAGCCAAACTCCAGCTCACAGTTTATAAGCAGTTACAGTAACAGAGTTTTTCCTTTTGGAATAAAGGTTATACATAAATAAAAGCTGATCATTGTAAGCACCCCTGATAATGTTAAAGGGTTTGTCTAATCTCTGTAAACTGATACATCTGCACGAGACCTTGTTCTTTTGAAAAAACAGACTTACGAGCTATAAAATAGAAGAAAAAAAAAGCCTAAGAAAGGAAACAAATGCAGCAGGGATTAGTTCTGGTACTTAAAGGTGAAATTTAGCTCGGAATATCCCGTGTGTAGCAGGCAGGCCGTAAAGAAGAGTTGTAGATGTTATGTCAATATGTCCACCATTATACTACAAGCTGCGGCATGTCACTCATAAAAAACACTAGTTGGAGAAGTTGAGGACCTCCTATTCCTAGAAGTGTTCCTGAATGCTCACACGTTTGCCTATCTACTACAGCAGCAATAACTTGAGCTGAGCTAAGTTAAATGGATTGTAATCCTCTGAAATGAAAAATGAACAGTGCATATCCCTCTATAGTGTGTACTTGCCTCAATCCAAAGCACCTAGTGTGCTTTCGTTTTGCTCTCATTCCTCTGCAGGAGTCACTTCTGACAGGTTATCCACAACACAGAATCCTGCCCCTCAGAACACAGAAGGCAACTGACAGCTTCAGCTCTGCATATTTCCCTATGAGACTGTGTAGAGCAGTGGTTCTCAACCTTCCTAATGCCGTGACCCTTTAATACAGTTCCTCATGTTGTGGTGACCCCCAACCATAAAATTATTTACCCAGTAATTATAATTCATGAATGTCGTTTTACCTCCAATACTGCTGCTTTCAACACAGTAGCTGCTTTCAACACAGTAGCTGCTTTCTACACAGCAGCTGCTTTCAGCACAGCAGCTGCTTTCAGCACAGCAGCTGCTTTCTACACAGTAGCTGCTCTTTACACATCGGAAATATGTGTTTTCTGATGGTCTTAGGGGACCCCTGTGAAAGGGTCGTTCGACCCCCAAAGGGGTCGCGACCCACAGGTTGAGAACCACTGGTGTAGAGGATGAGGGGGGGGGGGGGGGGGGATTGTCCTTATCCCTCCACTCAGGTCTCAGATTACACTCAGCACCTTGCTCCATGCTATGTGTGACATCAGATCCCTGCCCTATGCTTGCTGGAGCTGAGACAAAGCCTTTGCTCTTTGTGTTTTAGAAGGCTGTGGAGGAGAGAGGGCGGCAGATAAACAGGTATAACTTATGTAGGACTATTTGTATCATCTCTTGTTGCATCACCTGAGGCTAGTCACTTCAGTGGGTATATAAAGGTCTACAACAACCTGTATAATAATGAAAAAAAATAGTGAGTGAATTGCCCTGCAAATGTGTGTATAACATTAGATTGTAAGCTCCTTTGGAGACAGAGAGCGTAAATGTTTCTACACACTAGTAAAGTGCCCACAGAATTATATGGTACTATACAGACAGAACAGTAAATAACTGCAGAGACTGACCTCTATGGCAGGGTAATAATTGTAATTCCAATACCAGAAAGTCCTTGGCAGATACCCCTGGATAAGATGGTGTTCTGGAACAAACGGGTGAAAGGTCTCCTTCCCGCTGGTGTCTCTGGAATCTCCTGCTTTGACATGAATGTTCTCCATACATTTCCCAAGAGCCAAATCCTCCACCGAGGAGCTGTGGGTGCATTTTTTCTTCCTTGAAGGCATTTACGAACCTCTTCAAGGCTTCCTTACTAAGCACATACCCAGCCCCACCGCTCATGTACCCCTGCTTCACATAGGGCTTAAACCTCCCTTCCAAAGTAAATGGAGTCATCTGGATTATGCTTTGACAAAAGCCAACGCAAGTTATCCACCACAACATAAGTGTCATCGTCGGCTTTCATGAACCAATCAGCCTCGTCCAGGTGGTGGTCGTAAACGTACTGGAAGGCCTTGATTGTCTTCCAATAAAGTTGGTCTCTGCCCTCCTTTGTATCCAGCCCAACTGTGGGGAAGTCTTTATTTTCTTCTGAGCTCATGTACAAGACTTTATTGCACCTTTGGGCCCAGGTAGCCTTAACGTGTTTAGTCTTCTTGTCTAGGTTTTGGGGTCCAGTCATAACCCAGCAAAGGATTCTCACCTTCTTGTACAAGTCTTCAGATACATGGACATCTTCATCTGAAGAGGAATGAGATGGCAATACATTATAAGCAGCAGTTTTAAAATAAAGGGATAAAATGAATGTTTGGAAAAAGTATAAAAGCTGCTCCACCATATCAGCATTAAAGTACTACTCTGGGCAAAAATTTTTTTTTTCCATGCATTGGGGCTGCGCCTACACTGCAAGGGTTAACTGCTCCAAGGGCAAACAGAAGGCTTATACTCACCCGATCCTTCGTTCCAGCAGCAAATGATGGTCCCCTATGATCCAGAGGTGCACTGCTCCTGACGTCCTCAGATCTATGGGTTAGGGTTGGGGGGTTGGGGGGGATGCAGGAGCTGCAGGGACCGGTCTTGTGCAGAGGATCGGAGGATTAGGCGAGTACATCCACCTTCTCCAGCTCCCTAGACAAAAATGAGCAGTTACCCTGGCAGCATGGGCACAGCAAATGTTTACTTTTTAACCCCAAGTTGGGCTTTAATAAAACTCTATACTTAAACTGTTGCTGACCCTAACACCCACACATACATGGCTGAGGTTTCTGTGCTGGGAGCACGCTATACCAGTCTCCGCTTGTGATTGGGAGCTGGCAGGATTGAGCTGCCCATTCTCTGACCACTGTGACAGCCAATCACAGTGGTCATGTGATAGGAAAGTCCATCCCACCTCCCAGCATTAATACCCATTTAAAAGGAGTTAAAAGGGTATTATGTAAAAAATTATAATTGGCGAACAGGCAGGATTTTTAATGCAGAAGAGACATGCTTTGTCTCCTCTGCATTAAAGTTACCTACCTGCCTGTGCACCCTGTACAGTGAGAGCCGCACACACCCAGCTCACCGTAAAAAATGACTGAACTCCTGCACATGCAATGTGATGTCATATCTGCCCAACCAATGAAAGCAGTCTGCGCTTGAAATCCAGAAACCAGCCTCTAAAAGATGTCAGTGCCCAAAGGGAAGCTCCAGGACGTCGCATTGCTGGACTGAGGGTAAATATAGTTCTGTTTAAACTTTGCAAAAATATGTCAGCTGACAACTTCTTGTGCATTCTGTCTGTGCTATCCTCTTATCAGTAAGCATTGTTCCCAGCTTTCTGTGAGTACAGAATCAATTTCAAATCCATCTTTCTTATGCAATGGAGAGAAGAAAAGAGTAGAGAAGATAGGAGAGAAGAGAGAGGAGAAAGAAAAGAGACAGAAAAGAGAGAGATAAGAGAAGACAGAAAAGAGAGAGATAAGGAGAAGAGAGAAAAAAAAAGAGAAAAAGAAAAAAAAGAAAAGAAAAAAAAAGGGGGGAGAGAGAGACAGGGGGGGGGGAGGGGGGGAGGGGGGGAGAGAGAGAGGAGAGAGAGAGAGAGGGGGGGGGAGAGAGAGAGGGTGAGAGAGGGGGGGAGGGAGAGAGAGAGAGGGGGGGGAGAGGGAGGGAGGGAGGGAGAGGGAGAAAGACTTTACTACTTTTAACTCTCTACTTTCTCCACCTCCACCCAGTAACTCACTCACTGCTTACGAGATTGCAAATCATTTCAAAAACAAGATTTATGCAATTCATAGGGGCATCTCCGCTACACAGACATCCATCCCACTTAGCATACCTTATACTATATCTCCCTCAACACTTTCCTCTTTTGACCTTGCTACTACTGAAGAGGTCACTAAAGTTCTCAGAAGCCCACCTCACTACCTGCCACCAGGATCCTGTCCCCTCATAACTACTACGGTCACCCTCTTCTGTCCTATGCTCCCTCACTCACATCTTCAATCTTTCCCTCTCTACTGGTGCCTTCCCCTCCCCTCTAAAGCATGCGCACATCACTCCCATACCTAAAAAGCCCTCACTGAACCCCACCAACCTGAACAACGTAAGACCCATCTTCCTGCTCCTGTTTACCTCTAAACTCTTCGAACGCTTAGTCTACAATCGCCTGAGCTCCCACCTCACCGACAACAACCTTCTTGACCCTTTACAGTCTGGGTTTCGCTCACTCCACTCCACTGAAACTGCCCTACTCAATAATGATTTACTAACTGCTGAAACCAATGGCCACTGCTCCATACTCTTAACTACTTTTCCTCTTTGCGGCTTTTGATACTATTGACCATCCCCTCCTCCTCAAAAAACTCCACTCTCTTGGCCTCTGAGATTCTGCTCTCTCCTGGTTCTCCTCCTACCTATCGCAGCGCTCCTTCAGCGTTACCTAAAACTCGGTCTCCTCCTCCTCTCCACTTCCACTTTCTGTAGGGGTCCCTCAAGGTTCTGTCCTTGGATCCCTTCTCTTCTCCATCTATACCTCCTCCCTTGGTCACTTGATAAACTCCCATGGCTTTAAGTATCAGCTCTGTGCTGATGTCACACAGATATATCTTTCTACTCCTCACCCCTTCAGTCTCCTCTCGCATTACTGACCTACTAAGTGACATATCGGTATGGATGTCACTCCACTTCCTCAAACTCAATCTTTACAAAATGGAAGCTCTTAGTATTCCCCCCAGCCAACCCCCTCCCCCCTGACTTCTCCATCAAGATCAATAATACAACCATCAGTCCCTCCCCTCATGCCAGGGTACTAGGTGTAATCCTAGACTCTCATCTGTCCTTTCAGCACCAAATCCAATCACTGTCCATATATAAATACTGTATAATAATAACAACTTGTAGTGAGTCCTCAAGAGGCAGGTGAACAACCCCCCCCCCCCCCCAACACACACAAATTCTGACAAACTCCAAGCATTGATTATGCAAGAATGGGCTGCCATCAGTCAGAATGTAGTCCAGAAGTTGACTGACAGCATGCCAGGACGAATTGCAGAGGTCTTGAAAAAGAAGGGTCAGCAATGCAAATATTGACTCTTCGCATAAACTTCATATAATCGTCAATAAAAGAAAAACCTTTGACACTTATGAAAATTGTCCCCCCTATTTACAGCGCTGAGCAAACCCTTTGGCGCTATATAAACTAATCAGTATACCATAATAACATCTGACAAAAAGATAAAAAAAAAAAAAAAAAAAACCACTGAAGCAGCAGGCCTTTGTGAAAATTAATATTTGGGTCATTCGCAAAAAAATTTGGCCAGGGCTGTATGGATAAGCTGCAATATGCTACATTTCTGTTCTTGGGTCTAGATACACTTTTACTACCGTGTTTCATATTTGAAAAGTACCTCTCAAACAGGTTGTGCTTTGTTGAACAAATGTATACGTATGTGTGCATGCATTTGCGTGTTTGTAAGCAGGTTTGCTTTAATCGCACAGCCACTACAGCTTGTTCTAAGCATGTAATGATGATGCACAGTGTGTGGATTAGATTTCTCTATCCAGTTAAACTGGAGTGGTATGACTGGTATGACGCTGACCAACCTTTATCCCCTGAAGGAGGGAAGGTGCGTCTGATCCAGAGCACAGCACCAATACATATACTTTACAGAAAGAAGGTTCAGAAATAACAAGCTTATCAAACCTGCCAATCGAGTTATTGCGCAAGTCGAATAAATCAGTTCCTGAATTCAGCTGTAAAAACATAACACAAACCAGTAATATCTGAGCCTATGCAAGAATCCAAACGTACATTCTTACATGAGAATTCTGTAGGGATAGATATATACATATATATGATTTATAGTTTATTCCTACATTCTACGTATGCCTTAACCCCTTGACGCCGACGTAACACAAATATGCGGCCTCACAGAACTGGCCTTTTTTCCGTGGGGCCGCATATTTGCATACCTTTCTGTTGGGAGCGCGCCGCATGGTGTGCTCCCAGCACAAAGACCGCAGTGTCACTGAGAGCACCGGGTCCTGTTTTAACGATCGGGACCCGGGACTCCTGATTCCGGGTCACGTGATCGCTGTGATAGCCTCTGATTGGCTATCATAGTGATCAGTCACTGTACAGTCCGGCTCCCTTGTATTTTTTCCTCTATGAATGGAGGAGAGAGATACATTGTTTGAAAGAAAAAAAAATGTTTGTAAAAAAAAAAAAAAAAAAAAAAAAGATAAATAAATATAAAAAATAAAGAAAAAAATACCTAGATCAAGCTTTGATCTACTTCAGTGCCAGGGTTAGTGTTTGGGTCAAGGTCTGGGTCAAAGGTCAGGATTTAAATAAAAAAAAAAAATCGGTGTCAATTAGGGGTTTATTTACTAAAGTTGGAGAGTCCAAAATCAGACTCGCTTCTGCATAGAAATCAATCAGCTTCTAACCTCAGCTTGTTCAATGAAGCTTTGGCCAATGAAACCTGGAAGCTGATTGGTTTCTATGCAGAAGGGAGTCTGATTTTGGACTCTCCAGCTTTAGTAAATAAACCCCATAGTGTCAATGTCAGTGTGTTTTAGGTAAAAAAAAAAAAAAAAGTCAAAAAAAACAAAGTGCACTATTGTTTCTGGGCTGTACTACGGGTAAAAACAACAAATAACATACACATATATGGTATCGCTGCGATCGTCAAGAGCTGGAGAATTTATTTTGGGTTGTTCTTTGGTGGTAGATTATGGTAGTAACAAGAAACACACAGCTAAATAAAAAAAAAATGAGTTTTGTTGGTTTTTTTTTTTTTTTTTTTTTTTATTAGTTTGGGCCAGTTTTCCTTTGATTAAAAAAAAAAAAAAAACAGGTGATATCCATTACCATTTACCACCAAATGAAAGCCCAATGTGTCCTGAAAAAAACAAGGTATAATCCACCTGGATGTACAAAGTAGTTGTAATGATATGTACGGCTTTACTAACACATGTCAACATTGCAAAATTGTGCTTAGGCATTTAGATTTGTTTTACACTTAGGCATGAAGGGGTTAAACAGTGGGGGGAAGTCATCAAGAAGTGTTCCCATGAAGTCTGACTACTGCTGCCTTGCCAGAAATCACAACACCTGAGTGTGCACAGCGGGGTTAAATAGTAAAGCTCTGTAGTTAATAATTAAAATTAATTCCCTCCTTCCTCCAGTTTGTCCCCAGTCTCACTAGTTCTACCGCTACCCAACCCCCCAGTCAGAAATCCATACTGAAGGAGCTTCTTTTCTCTTACCATCTGTTGATCACACATGAGCCAGATCTCACAAATTAAAAAGGAGCTTCAGTCTTCCCCCAAAAAATAAATCCAATACAAATACTGTATATTAAATACAAATATTGTAGCTGCTGACTTTTAATATAAGGACACTTACCTGTCCAGGGATCCAGCGATGGAACCAATTCTTCGATCGGCTTCGGGGGCCGGCATCTTACATAAGGGAAACCGACAGTCGTGCTGTGGTTGGTCTTGCAGCCTTCTGGAACCTGTGATGTGGCCCAGATGACGAGGAGGGGAGCCGAATATCAGCAATCTGACCCGGACGTGGGAGTGTTACCTGTCAAAACCAGGTACCCACTCCCGCTCCCCCCTTCCCCTACAAAAAAGTGCAAATGTGGCAGTGGAGGGTGCAAACAAAACGGACCTTCAGCTTTTGGGTGAAGTTCCGCTTTAACTGTCAGAGATCAGATGCAGTTTGTTATTGTTTATTTCTCGCTATGGTGTTAGCAATGTAAGCATCAAAACAGCAGCCAACATCCATGTTGCTGAAGCCATAGGGGGTTATTTACTAAAAGGAGTGAGAAAACTGGTGCAGCTCTGCAGGGAAGCCAATCAGCTTCCAGGCTTTATTGCCAAACCTTAATTGAACAAACTGAATTTGAAAGCTGATAGGCAAGCAGGCACAGCAGCACCAGATTCTCGTTTTAGTAAATCTCCCCAATAGTAATGTATAAACAACAAAAAAGGCTTTTTCCCTTTTTACCACACGGAATCTCCCTGGAAGGCACTGGTGATGTAGCCTTCCCAGGAAGCAGCTATGAGGCCAGAGCCACATCACTAATGCCTTAACCTCCCTGGCGGTATTCCCGAGTGTAGCTCGGGGTAAAGTTTCAGTACCAAGAGCAGTAACCCCGAGCTACACTCGGGCTTACCATGCGGCGTTGCTCAGGGAGTCCCTGCAGCACTTTCCTTGTCCTTCGCTCCCGCGATGTGTCCCCTGCAGCGTCCCCGGCCATCTCCTCCGGCCGATGCCGGCATCCGGCTTCCGTGTTCTGGTCCCTGTGACGTCGGGACGTACGGGTGCCAGAACCAGCGGCAAATTTGAAATTTTTTAAAAATTTCATTTTTTAAAAAATGATTATTATATAGTAAAACATTGCTGTTTCAATGCATTTCACATATATATTGTCTCTACTGCTTTGTCCTGCGCCCTGCCTACATTTTGACTGTTCTTTCTGCCCAGAAACTTAGAAAAGTCCATGGCGTCCAAAAAGCGTCCCTTTACGTCAAAAGCGGTTTTAAACCGGCTAGAGAACAGCGATAGTAAATCAGAACCACTTGCAGAATTGAGTGATAATGATTCGTGGGGAAATTCCTCATCAGACACTGAAAACGATTTTGCGACTTTGCTCAGCGATGTGCGAATTTGCCTCTGTATTTCAAATTTCAGTGTTTTTGGTTTGATTATATTATTGAATTAAATATATTATTATTATTATTTATTAAATTATAATTTATGATTTCGTGTTTCAAGTTTTATCATATCCGGAATGTTTACTAGACTTTTGCTCGGACAGATTTCAGTGAGTTATTCCTAAAAATTACAGCCTACAATAAAAAAACTATATATTTCCATGCAAAAAAATGGTACCGCTTTCAGCACAAAAAAAATCGGAAATAATCATACCGCCAAGGAGGTTAATATACCAGAAAGTGGGATTAAACAAAATTGTCCATAACCAAATAAATCTTTTAATAAACAAATGACGTGAAGATGTTTTGAGCTCACCGTGTGCCATGATTTGTTATTGTTGGGGGAGGGTTAAAGTCTGCTTTAAAGCCCATCTGTTGGCAAAGGTGTCAACCACCCCAACCTATAATTAGCCTTTGCAGTAAAGTGCACATGGGAGGGCAATACACATCACAAACAGAAGAATTCCCAGCACACTTACCAGCTAACCTGCAACACAACCAAATTGACCCCAACAATTCACATTAAAAAACAGAGGTATTCATTTGCAAATATATGAGTAAGCCACGGTGCCCACGTCAAGGCTCCTCTGTATACAACGGTCCTAACGCTATCGTTTTCAGAGTCTCCAAGTTGGAGCACATACAGCAGTGGATACATTAAAGTGGTAGTAAAGTCCTCTGTTGGTTCTACTTTTTGGGGGGGCCCTAGGTGAGTTATGCCATAATGTGTATGCATAGCATAGCATATAATCACATTATGACAGACTTACCTGTTAACTTGAGACATCCAGTGCTGCGATCGATCCGGAGGGTCCCGGGTGCTTCCATCTTTGCCCAATCTTCATTCCAGGTTCCGTGACTTCGGTCACTTGAATGGCCAGGCTGCTATGATGTTACTCCCTCGCATGCACACGAGTCATATCGCAGCGGCACAGAACAGGGCCGTAAATGTACATGACAGCTGACAGGCAGGAGGAAGCATTTATGACAGCATAGTGGCAGCACAGTGGCTAAGTGGTTAGCACTTCCGCCTGGTAGTACTAGGGTCGTTGGTTCGAATCCCAGCCACGGCACCAGACAGGCAGACATGCTGGTAGGTGAATTGGATCCTGTCTAAATTGTCCCTAGTATGTGTATGTATGAATGTGAGTTAGGGACCTTAGTTTGTACACCCCTTGAGGGTTAGGGACTGATGTGAATGTACAAATATATATATGTAAAGTGCTGGGTAAATTGATGGCGCTATACAAGTACCTGAAATAAATAAATAAATGACAGAAGAGACCGATAGGGTCCTGTCTGTCAGCATTTTATTTTTTTTTACAAAGACAGTTTACTAGCACTTTAAAGGCAGGTGTGCCTGGAGGGAGCCCACTCCTCCATAAAGGCACAGGGATGTATGTGACACCCAGCAAGAGCACAATGGTAGCTGAAGGCATCCAGTGTGTCCCCACACCCAAAATTAGCCTGACCTTGACCCTAATGGACACCTTTGGGATGAGCTGTAATGCTTACGTTGCCAGGTCAGGTCTTCAACATTAGTATCAGACCTTGTGTTGAAATACAATGCATCCCATTTAAAAATGCTGTGGGTGCTATGAGCTCAGGAGTTTCAGCACCAAAAAATTAAAGTGTAACGAAAGGCAAAAATATTTACCTTAGATCCAGTCTGACGTGGGTATCGGCATTTCCTCCCTGGCTGCTTCTAGGTGTCATTCTTTGACGGTGTTGATTGTCCAGCATGGGATGATATCAGTTCCATGCATGCATTAGAGTGCAGTCACCTGGACACCCACCCTGTGTGCTGCGATGACTGCAATCCTGTGCATGCGCAGCTCAGTGTACATTCTACAGAGGATTGCAGACAGGCAGGTAGGCGTATTTTACTGAAGAAGAGACACTACATGTCACTTCTGGGAAAAAGATTTTTTTTTTTTAGCACCCAGATATTTACCCTCCAGGCACAGATACGCTGCGTGTTACTTCAGCACTTTTAGCCCACTCACAGAAATGAACGCTAAGGTTCTTATCTAAACCTTCACCTCAACTTAACGGTTAACCTCCTAACACACAAGCTCAGCCGTAATCCCCGCAGTGATACTATGAGAGTGATAATTCAATTACACAGTGACTCATTCTATCATGGCAGGACTGCCGCTCAGAATACATTACCTCTATAATACACCATTGACTGAGGCCAACAATCAACGTCAAAAAATGATCCAGACATCATGACAAACGCCACCAACTAATCACCCGGCCAATGTCCCCTAATGAAGAGCCATAAAATAGGCAAGGTTGTCCCAAAGTGAAACCAAATCAGAGAGGGGCACAAGAAGGCTTTTTCTAGCTACCACATGCAGCAACAGAAATCTTGTGGAGTCTGTTCTTAGGCAGGCCTTTCCCTTTCAAACAGTTCCAGTCCTGGCCAATCCTGACATTCCTCTCCTACATGTTAAAAAACAGAGTTCCACCCAAAAGGGGACGTTCCGCTTTAAAGACTGGTCCCCCACTCCCCATTAAGGATTGGCACCTTTGGAGAGCGGGTACCCGAAATTGACAGGTACCCGCTCCCACTTGCGATTGCCTAGGCCAGGGGTAGGCCAGCTGTGGCTCTCTAGCTGTTGTGGAACTTCATTTCCCATGAGGCATTGCAAAGATTACAAAACTGACTATAGCGTTTGGCAAGCGTTGGTCTGGCGTTTGCGGAGCGGTTTTTAACGCTCCGAAAACGCTGCATACGCGGTTCAGCGGTGGTTGCCGAACGTTAAAAACACCCCACAAACGCCTATAATGAAGTTTGAATGGTGTTACCACTCCGCAAACGCATTGCAACCGCACCGCAAATGCCAGCTGGGCGTTTGTGGAGCAGCACCATAGAATAGAATAGGAGGCTTCAACCAGAGGCGTCCGTTTTGCTGCGGCGTGATTTGGGATCTATTAGACCCCATATTTCTCCTCTGGTCTCCAAAGCATCTGATCAAACCAAAATGGGTTTGATCTGATGCTTTCACAATCCAGTAATGGCTTGCTTACATAAGAACAAAACCGGAAGTGACGAAATCCTCGTCAACTCCATTTTCTGATATCACAGTGAGAGGAACAACAACCATTCCTCACACTGCATCCCAGGAACCGGATGCCGCTGGTCGCATCCTTAGCGGGCTTCCTGAACGCATGGGAAAACCTGGTAAAAGGGGAATTGGAGGTGGGGACCCTCATCTGCTGCCTGTAAAAGTAATCCAGCAGCTTTTTAGCCACTCAGATTACTTTTACAAGCTGTAGGGTCGCTTCCTCTAAAGAATGATATCTCGGTCATCGCTGCGGCTTCAGCAATGACCGGCATATCACCATTCCCATCCAAGGACGTATGGATACATCCTGCGGACAGGAAGCGGTTAAATGCATAGTTCACGTTTGCCAAAAATCTGTAAACACTACATACAAAAAAATAGCTATAGATACAGTTTAAATAGATAAAAGTAGGAGAGGTTTGCTGTAAGATCTGGTTATGCCACCACGGAGGGGAAAAAAAAAAATACAGAGTGTTATTTGCTGACTGTAACCTGATCACCCACTCTTATCTATAGGTGACACATGAGCAGAATGCAAATCACGTGTCACCATGTGCAACTTCCATCATGGTGGTATGAGGCACCACGAGGCTCCTCTCCTGGCAGTGAACGACTCCTTTTCTTATTACAAGCCAGGGCGGATATGATTTAAATAACTAGTGAAAAGGCTCGATTTAAATCATTTTTAAAGAGCAGCTGTCATCTCTGTCCCACAGCAGCTCCTCCTCTGACCCGCTGTTGACTCACCGACAGTCCCATTCACTTTAATGGAATGGCTGGTGATGCGGCAGTGACACAACAAGGTGAAGGACGTGGCGGCAGCAGGTGAGTAGATGCCTGCTAACAGGCGCTGCCATGATAGATCTAAAATTACAGGTGCTCTGTAGCCTCCCTGGCGGTATTCCCGAGTGTAGCTCGGGGTAAAGTTTCAGTACCAAAAGCGGTAACCCCGAGCTACACTCGGGCTTACCATGCGGCGCTGCTCCGGGATCTGTTCTTCACTTACCTTGTCCTGCGTTCCCGCGATGTCCCCCCTGCAGTGTCCCCGGCAATGTAATCCGGCGGATGCCGACATCTGTCATCTGGGTTCCGTCCCCTGCAAGCGTCGGGACGTACGGGGGGACAGAACGGCGGGAAATTTTAAAATAACAAAAAGTGACATTCACTAAATACACTAAAATCACATAGTATAACATTCCTGCATCAAACCATTTCACATACATTTTGTCCCGAGTGCTTTGTCCTGTGCCCTGCCTGCATTTTTACTGTTCTTTCTGCCTGGAAACTGAGAAACGTCCATGGCGTCCAAAAAGCGTCCCTTTAGGTCAAAATCGGTTTGAGACCGGCTAGAGAACAGCGATAGTAAATCAGAACCACTTGCAGAATTGAGTGATAATGATTCGTGGGGGAAATTCCTCATCAGACACTGAAAACGATTCTGCGACTTTGCTCAGCGATGTGCAAACTTGGCGCTATATTTCAAATTTCAGTGTTTTTGGTTTGAATATATTATTGAATTACATGTATTATTATTATTATATTATTTTTTATGATTATTTATTAAATTATAATTTATGATTTTGTGTTTCAAGTTTTATCATACCCGGGATGTTTACTAGACTCTTGTTCGGACAGATTTCAGGGAGTTTTTCTAAAAATTACAGGCCTAGAATAAAAAAAATACATATTTCCCCCATGCAAAAAAATGTACCGCTTTGACCACAGAAATATGGACATAATCAGACAGCTAGGGAGGTTAAATGTAAGGAATCCGATTCTTGCTGCAAGTTAGAATCTTTAATATTTGTAAACCAAATGAATGTTTCCTTTTTAGAATAATAAGCTGTCATGTTAGTAAAACAGCGATATAAAACAACTGATTTTAGGTTAATAGGTTCATCACACAGAGCTGGAGAACGACTCAGATTCTTTTATTTCATGTTTTTTCTCATAGTTACTGTGAAATTGTGTGAATGCGTCAATGCAGGGCATGTTATCTCAGCTTGGATTAACTGAATGAGTTTACCAGAAATGTAAATATTACAAAATATACAGCCTCATGCTACATAACTATTCAGTTAATAAATTGAGTTTATTCAGCATGAAACTATTATTTCATGCTGAATAAACTCAATTATTAATGTGTCCTAAATAACAAAAGATCTTTAGACAGATTTTTACTCCGAAAGCATTTTATTAAAATACATTTGAGAAAATAAAATAAAAATCTGTTTTAAATAAAAAAAATCCGATTTAAATAAAAAAAAAAATTTTTTTTATATTTTTAAAAGAAAATAAATCCGATTTTTTAAATGTAAGAAAAAAAAATTTTTTTGATTTTTATCTACCCTGTTATAAGCCAAATCGGCCCTTAATGAGGCACAACTAGCACTGCTTTGGTCTAAGGATGTGGATGAGGTTATAAACTCCAGAACTATGGATGCCAGCTGGATACACCATCATTTACTATGTCGGATACATTTATGCAGTGGACCTACTGTTTAACTCATTAAGGGTTTCTGGGTTCAATAGCCCCCACAATACTGTGGATAATGCATTGCCTCTCCATCTCTGACTGCTTGCCCCACACCTAACTTTTCTGACTGCCTGGCCGTGGATATGAGTCCTCAATTATTGTGCTACTTGTTCCACACACTTTTATATACATTACAAGCCCCTGAGGAAGCGCCCCTTGTCGTGAAACGTTGGGCCATTAACAGCTTATCTGAAGGAAGTGGACCGCATAAATTCCACCCAGGGTCCATATTAGGAAATGTAAAACTTTTTGTTTTGGGGGGGGGGGGGGGGGGGGGACGGACACTGGAATACATGTACAATGCAATTTATATTTTTAATCACGGATATTCTTTTAAAGAAGTTATATAAATAAAGGAACGTATTGTTTTATATTTCTGTTGTACGGAGTATATCTATATAACAACTTATCCATGCCTTAGTTACGGTATATCCTGCCTCAATTACTGCAACTCCCTCCTCACTGGTCTACCGTTACACAGGCTATCCCCCTTTAGTCTATTATGAATGCTGCTGCTAGACGCATACACCTTACCAACCGATCAGCGACTGCTGCCCCTCTCTGCCAATCCCTCCACTGGCTTCCACTAACCCAACGTATAAAATTCAAAATACTAACCACAGCTTACAAAGCCATCCACAACACGGCCCCTAGCTACATCACCGACCTCATCCACAGATACTGCCCAAATTGCCCACTCCGCTCCTCCCATGATATCCTCCTCTCTAGCTCCCTCATCACCTCCTCCCATACTCGCCTCCAGGACTTCTACAGAGCCTCTCCCATCCTCTGGAACTCCCTACCACAGCATGTCCGGTCAGCCCCCACCCTGTCTGCCTTTAGACGATCTTTGAAAACTCACTTCTTGAGGGAAGCCTACCCCACCTGCACCTAAGAACTCTACTTGAATCACCTCCGCCAGATCATCCCCCGCAGCTATCACCTTTTGTATCACCTCCCCCATCCTTTAGATTGTAAGCTCCACGAGCTGGGGCCTCCTATTCCTTCTGTACTGAAATGTATTGTAATTGTACTGTCTCCCTTATATTGTAAAGCGCTACGCAAACTGTTGGTGCTATATAAATCCTGTATAATAATAATATGTGTCTGTAAAGTCCATAATTGCTTAGAATCTATTCTATAAATCTGGGACGTGGCACGGTTATATCCAATTGGTGTGACCACCAGCCACTCGATGGTCGCCCAGCTTCTCTTTTTACCTACTTGTTTGATTAGTGACTAGCTGTCCGTCTTGTGTGATATTATAATTATGTGTTATCGGGGGACATCGCTGGGTTCACATCAACCACCTGGCTGTAAAGGAAGGTATACTACAACTTTCTGCTGGTGAGGGGACACTAGGGGACTGTCACAGGGGACACGGGTCAGCCGCTCCACTGCAGTGTGACGTATATTGGTTGGGAGTCTATAAGAAGAAATACCAATAAAGCAACTTGCTGTCAGAGAAGAGAATTGCTGACGTCGTCATTGACAGTTACTCGCTACGTTCAAAGTGGTAAGTCATTTAGTAAACAAGATGTTATATGGGGTCTCGTGGCAGAATCAGCCCCCCCCCCGCCCCCTTCTTCTTCAGATACTGAATACAAACACTTGTCTGACTTGCCATCGCTCTGAATGAGGTGTGCAGTGTTCAGCAACAGGAGTGCGGCCCCAACAATGCAGACGGAAGATGCTCCCTCCCATCCATCGTCTGTCCACACAGCTGACAACAGTCAGTTATTAAATGTCAGAGGTGATCTCTGTCATACTGTAACCAATACCAGCCAATCAGTAACCTCTCCTTCATACCTGTCCATGAAAAACAAGGCACATTCTTATGTCTAGGCTTGTATGTGAGGGAGATCAGTGGTCAGCAGGGTGCCCAGCAGGGAGATCAGTGGTCAGCAGGGTGCCCAGCAGGGAGATCAGTGGTCAGTAAGGAGATCAGCAGGGAGATCGGTGCCCAGCAGGGAGATCGGTGCCCAGCAGGGAGATCGGTGCCCAGCAGGGTGCCCAGGTGGGGGATCAGTGGTTAGCAGTGTGTCGATCAGGGATCAGCAAGGTGCCCAGGTGGGCAATCAGCAAGGTGCCCAGGAGGGAGATCGGTGATCGGCAGGGTGCCCAGGAGGGGGATCGGTGATCGGCAGGGTGCCCAGGAGGGGGATCGGGGATCAACAGGGTGCCCAGGAGGGGGGATCGGGGATCAACAGGGTGCCCAGGAGGGGGGATCGGGGATCAACAGGGTGCGCAGGGTGGGGGATCGAGGATCAGCAGGGTGCCCAGGGTGGGGGATCGAGGATCAGCAGGGTGCCCAGGAAGGGGATCAGCAGGGTGCCCAGGAGGGGGATCGGGGATCAACAGGGTGCCCAGGAGGGGGATCGGCAGGGTGCCCAGGAGGGGGATCGGGGATCAACAGGGTGCCCAGGAGGGGGATCGGGGATCGGCAGGGTGCCCAGGAGGGGGATCGGGGATCAACAGGGTGCCCAGGAGGGGGATCGGGGATCAACAGGGTGCCCAGGAGGGGGATCGGGGATCAACAGGGTGCCCAGGAGGGGGGATCGGGGATCAACAGGGTGCGCAGGGTGGGGGATCGGTGATCAGCAGGGTGCCCAGGGTGGGGGATCAAGGATCAGCAGGGTGCCCAGGAAGGGGATCAGCAGGGTGCCCAGGAGGGGGATCAGCAGGGTGCCCAGGAGGGGGATCAGCAGGGTGCCCAGCCCAGGGGGGATCAGCAGGGTGCCCAGGAGGGGGATCAGCAGTATCAATAAGGAGATCAGTGGTTAGTAGTGTATCAGCAAGGGGGAGGTCAGCAGGGACATCAGTAGTCAGAAAAGTATCTGTCAGATCAGTGGTCAGCAGGATGTCAAGGGGCAGATGTCAAGTCAGCAGAGTGTCGCGAGGGAGGGAGGTAGGTGGTCAGTAATGTAGCAGGGAGATGAGTGGTCAGCAGAACCCCCTCAGGACAGATGTGAGTAGTCAGGGGGAGGGGTGACAGGGGCCCCGGGGTCAAGAGACAGGGGCCTGAGGTCATGGAACAGGGGTGAAAGCAGCCCCGGTGTCAGGGGACAGGGGCCCCAAGGTCATGTAACGGGGGTGTCAGGGACCCCGGGGTCAGGGCGGGGGTGTCAGGGGCCCCTTGGTCAGGACAGGGGTGTCAAGGGCTCCAGGGTCAGGACGGAGATGTCACGAGCCCCGTGGTCAGGACGGGGGTGTCAGGGGCCCCTCGGTCAGGACGGGGGTGTCAGGGGCCCCGGGGTCAGGACGGGGGTGTCAGGGGCCCCGGGGTCAGGATGGGGGTGTCAGGGGCCCCGGGGTCAGGACGGGGGTGTCAGGGGACCCAGGGTCAGGACGGGGGTGTCAGGGGACCCAGGGTCAGGACGGAGGTGTCAGGGGCCCCCAGGATCAGGTCAGGGGGGGTCAGGTCGGGGGTGTCAGAGGCCCCGGGGTCAGGACGGGGGGGGGGTGTCAGCGGCCCCGGGGTCAAGACGGGGATGTCAGGGGCCCCGGGGTCAGGACGGGGGTTTACCATGGTGTTGCTGGCTGTCCCGGTTGAAGTCCATGACTTGCCCGGGCAGGGAGTCGCCGTGCTGGTGGTCGGAGTGCCCTCCGTGCGGGTCGTTGTGCAGGATAACCGGGACCGCCTCCTCCCGCTCCTGGAAGACAATGCTGAAGAGGACATAGCAGAAGATGAAGCCGATGGCCAGGCCGAAAGAGAAGGTGGCCAGACTGAGCACAGACTTGCTAGTCGCCATGACAGCGCTTCGCTCTCCTCCGTCACATCGCCGACTAACTGACCGGACGGCTCCGCCGCCCAGGCCCCGCCCCCTCCCACACCATGGGGTTAACCCAACGCTCAGGTATCAGGCGAGCCGCTTCCCGGCGACATGACGTCATGACGTCCACATCTGCCGCTCTGAGAGGTCACATGACGGGCTGTCACGGTACACCCTCTGAGGAGAATTGATGGAAACTAGAACAGCTGTACAAGGCAACCAATAAGCGTCTATCTTATATTTCCAAACCTTGACTCAACAAACCGAATGGAGACGCTGATTGGTTACTGTACACAGCGGCTCCAGTTTGAACAAATGCCCGATCGTACATAAACATCATAGACAGTTATTACCTCATATTACATATAGACAGTTGATGCAAACTCAGCCACTAACATCTCACACATACATGTATTGAACGCACTTCCAAAGTTTTCAATCTTTTAAAATTTTCAGCTTTATACCCAATAATCCTGTCACAGACATCCTTGTTCAGGCACTTCTGTTATGGGGTGACAACCGCCTGTCAATTGTCCTCCTGCGTTGTCACCTTGTCATATGCACTTTTGATGAAGTCACTGACAGTTGTCAGGCCCCAATCACACCCGAGCGATTTATATCTCACACACTTGAGGAGAAAAAAAAAATATTAAAATTATTATTAAATCATTATTATTATTATTATTATTATTCTCAATGGAGATGACTCACATTTCCACTCCAAGGCAGATTTATGCATTTTTGACTATTTTTAAATGCATAGAAATGAATGGAAATGTGCAATTTGCATGTTTTTGGAGCGTTTTTCTGCTCAAATGAAAAAAATTAACATAAATAAAAAAAATGATAATATTAATAATAATAATAATAATAATAATAATAAATTAATAAATATAAGTTAAATACATAAAACACACATAAACATAAATACAAATAATCATAAATAAATAATACATATATAAATGAAATAAATAATATTTAATATAAAATTGTGATTCTTGTGAGCTACTATGGGTGTTTATGTGCATAAGAAATTATATATTAAATATGATTACAATCTATGTAATCAAAATCACCTCTTAAAATGTAGTGCTATATACTAAATTATATAAAGTATATAAACGTGAAAATTGAATGAGTGGATCGCCTACACCATACACATACTAATTATTAATACATATTAATGTGTTACAATAATCAAAAACTTAACGGTTTGGTCATATAAATCAGCACACAGCACATGAGAAGAAGTTTTTTGTGTGGACTTTTTCATATAAAAATATATTTTTTATATTTCTTATTTATATATATATTTTTTATATAACCCTCGCTAGTGGAAGTTATCGCAATTAAGCAAGGAGTGATTGTGGGAAGTTGGGAACGTATTTGCAGCAAAGTAGCACCTCAATAGTGTGGACTTATAAACACTATTTAAAATTTAATATTAAGTTGCAAAATATATTGTATAAGTATACACATTTTTTTCACAATTTTATTTTAGTGGAGCATGGCACATTTATTTTGTTTTAAATAATATTTAATAATACATAAATAATAATTAACCCCTAACCCTTAAAAAAAAAAAAAAAAAATTTATAATAAAAAAATAAAAACATGAACACCCTAACAAAAAAGACAAAAAGGGGAAAGGTCCTCTACTGGGTGGGACTTTAAAGGCACAGGTTTATAAACAGACTAATGAATCAGCAGTTAAAACGTAAAGCTCAATTTTATTTGATACAATCTTAACCTCCCTGGCGGTATTCCCGAGTGTAGCTCGGGGTAAAATGTCGGTGCCAAAAGTGGTAACCCTGAGCTACACTCGGGCTTAACATGCGGCGCTGCATAGGGAGTCCCTGCAGAGCTTACCTTGTCCTTTCGCTCCCGCGATGTGTCCCCTGCAGCGTCCCCGGCCATCTCTCCTCCGGGCGATGCCGGCATCCAGCTTCCGTGTTCCGGTCCCTGTGACGTCGGGACATACGGGCGCCGCCGCCGCCGCCGGCGGGAAATTTTAAAATTTTAAAAAATGTAATTTTTTTCCAAACAAATTTTACATAGCAAAACATTGCTGTTTCAACTCATTTCACATACATTTTGTCCCGAGTGCTTTGTCTGGTGCCCTGCCTGCATTTTGTCTGTTCTTTCTGCCTGGAAATAGATGACACCAAGCTGTGCCGTGGAATAACGTCCTTACAGGATGTCTTCAACTTACAAGCCGACCTCAATGCACTGTGTAATTGGGGGACTATGTGGCAAATGAGGTTTAATGCTGATAAATGTAAGGTTCTGCACTTGGGGGCTAAGAATATGCATGCATCATACATACTAGGGGGGTACAACTGGGGGGTCAATGGTGGAGAAGGATCTGGGGGTTCTGGTAGATCCCAAGCTTAATAATGGCATGCAATGCCAAGCTGCGGGTTCTAAAGTGAGCAAAATCCTCTCTTGTATTAATAGAGGTATAGACTCCAGAGAGAGAGATATCATTTCCCCGGTACAAATCATTAGTAAGACCTCATCTGGAATATGCAGTTCAGTTTTGGGCACCAATTCACAAAAAGAACATTGGGGAACTGGAGAAAGTGCAGAGAAGGGCAATGCAGCTGATAAGAGGCATGGAGGAGATCAACTATGAGGAAAGATTAGAGGAACTGAATTTATTCTTTCTTGAGAAGAGGAGATTAAGGGGGGATATGATCTCCATGTATAATACATAAGGGGGGATATGATCTCCATGTATAATACATAAGGGGGGATATGATCTCCATGTATAATACATAAGGGGGGATATGATCACTATGTATAATACATAAGGGGGGATATGATCTCCATGTATAATACATAAGGGGGGGATATGATCACCATGTATAATACATAGGGGGGGATATGATCTCCATGTATAATACATAAGGGGGGATATGACCTCCATGTATAATACATAAGGGGGGATATGACCTCCATGTATAATACATAAGGGGGGATATGATCTCCATTTATAATACATAAGGGGGGATATGATATCCATGTATAATACATAAGGGGGGATATGATCACCATGTATAATACATAAGGGAGGATATGATCTCCATGTATAATACATAAGGGGGGATATGATCATCATGTATAATACATAAGGGAGGATATGATCATCATGTATAATACATAAGGGGGGGATATGATCTCTATGTATAATACATAAGGGGGGATATGACCTCCATGTATAATACATAAGGGGGGATATGATCTCCATGTATAATAAGGGGGAATATGACCTCCATGTATAATACATAAGGGGGGATATGATCACCATGTATAAAACATAAGGGGGGATATGATCACCATGTATAATACATAAGGGAGGATATGATCTCCATGTATAATACATAAGGGGGGATATGATCATCATGTATAATACATAAGGGGGGGGATATGATCTCCATGTATAATACATAAGGGGGAATATGACCTCCATGTATAATACATAAGGGGGGATATGATCTCCATGTATAATACATAAGGGGGGATATGATCTCCATGTATAATACATAAGGGGGGATATGACCTCCATGTATAATACATAAGGGGGGATATGACCTCCATGTATAATACATAAGGGGGGATATGATCTCCATGTATAATACATAAGGGGGGATATGACCTCCATGTATAATACATAAGGGGGGATATGATCTCCATGTATAATACATAAGGGGGGGATATGATCTCTACGTATAGTACATAAGGGGGGATATGATCTCCATGTATAATACATAAGGGGGGATATGACCTCCATGTATAATACATAAGGGGGGATATGATCTCCATGTATAATACATAAGGGGGGATATGACCTCCATGTATAATACATAAGGGGGGGATATGATCTCCATGTATAATACATAAGGGGGATATGATCTCCATGTATAATACATAAGGGGGGATATGATCTCCATGTATAATACATAAGGGGGGATATGATCTCCATGTATAATACATAAGGGGGGATATGATCTCCATGTATAAATACATCAGTGGTTCATATAGTGAACTCGTTGTACAGTTATTCACCCTGAGGTCATCACAGAGGACAAGGGGGCACTCTTTACATCTGGAGGAAAAGAGATTTAATCTCCAAACACGGAAAGGTTTCTTCACAGTGAGAGCTGTGAAAATGTGGAATAGACTCCCTCAAGAGTTGGTTCTGGCCAGCTCAGTGGACTGCTTCAAAAAAGTCCTGGATTCTTTCCTAGATACGCAGAATATAACTGGATACTAACATTTATAGGTAAAGTTGATCCAGGGAATATCCGATTTCCTCTCGGGGGATCAGGAAGGATTTTTTCCTCCTGCAGGAGCAAATTGGATCATGCTTTGCTGGGTTTTTTACCTTCCTCTGGATCAACTGTGGATGTAGGATTATAAAAGGGGGTCTCTGATTAGTAGTTATGATGTAAAGAAGGTCTATGATGAGGACTCCTGATGTAAAGGGCGTCTGTAATAGGACATCTGATATAAGGAGGCACATATTTTGTTTAATCTGACAATCTAGTACATAACTGTGTTTCCCAGGTCGTGACACTGTGTGACAGACTGTCAGACTGCATCTCCATATCAGATAGGCTAGATCTGGCCCTGCCGCCTTAAGGTTGGATTTCCCTGAAGGTGGTCCCTGCCTTGTCCTGGGGAATTGATGAGTGCCCATATGCAGGGAGAGTGACCCCTGCCCACAATGTCTGGGGTAGCCCAGAAGAACCCACCCTGGGGTAGACCTCTTTGTTCCATCCTACAGCTTGACACCCAATGAAAGGAGACAGAGAGGTCTTACCAATTCTAAATTTAATGCCAAAACCTACTGATCCATAGCACTTTATTAGAGAATACTGAAAAGTTCTAGATTACTAGCGTCTAAGCATATCAATGGCGTCACCAATGCTTCTATGCAGCATATCACAGAGGATTTTACTTGCTCTTTCGTAGAATGAGCTGCTCAGGCCAATTTCATGGCTTGGAGCACATACCAGGGTAAAGCAATATGGACCTGGGGGCTAAGTTTGATATTAGTTACCAGATTCTTGAGAATCCAACAAAGCACCTGCTTGTAGACTACTCTTCAAACAAAATCGCAATATCTGAGACAGTGCTATGTTTCTTAGCTTTGTATTATGTATCCCCTATGACAGGGGTGCCATTATGGTTGATTTCAAAAGGTCAGCTGTATCTGTAAGACTAGTTCTCCAGCGCACCCTACCCCCCTACATTGTCTGTCAAGAGCCCACCCAGTCTTAGAAGTCAAGAGTCCCCCACCCTCCCTCCCTTACATCACAGTGCACCCCCCCCCCTTACTTTTTGCTGCCTAGGAAGAAGCTGGGGGTGGAGCTGGGAAGCAGAAAGTGCAGAGTCTGGAGGAGGACCAGAAGAGGGCTGGAGTCAGCTGAATGCTGAGACTGGGGAGACAGAGATGAGGGGGTGCTGCCTCTGCACAGATAGGCACAGGAACTGTCAGAGGAGTTCTTTCCTCATCTCAGCTGCCGACTGCTGAGACAAGGTGGAGGCAGAGGCGAGGGGTGCCGCAACTGCAGGAGAGTGTGAGTGCCACATGAAATGACCTGGCGGGCCACATTCGGCCCATGGGCCTTATGTTTTCAAATGTGCCTTATGACATTAGATGTTCCTCATTACTACATAAAGCATGTGAAAGCACTGACAAAATTCTGTATAAATATTACCAGTATTGCATTATCGTACACCTCACACCAATGACTTGAGAATTTCTCGCATCTCCAAATGTGTGGGCCTCCCCAGGCAATTGACACAATGTCCGTTTACTGGACTATGTACGGTAAGTATACAGCCTCTTCTTTTTCATGCTGCCTTCCATTCACACTTTAATCTAGCAACAGAATCAGAATGTACACAATGAAAACTACTCTGAAGAGCTTACAATACAATATGTGACTCAGTGCCCTAAAGGGCTCACAATGGGATATACTGTAAATCCTGCTCCTGAGAGCTTACAATCTAATGAGAAGATTTTTATCAGTCCCTGAACAATTAAAGTATAAGTTCACCTTTTGGAACATGTTACACCCATATTAAAGCTTATGCGGGTGCAAATCCCACTGTCATGGCTCTGTGAATAGGGTAACTGCTGGATGTGCACATCTGCCCATGCACAGGTTTCCTGGAATATCTGCGCATGCGTGGTATTCCCCCCGGCATACACAAAGATGGCGATTATGGGAGTCTGAAATCTTTGCTTTATTTTCTGCAGGAGCCTGTAAAGCAGTGGTCTCCAAACTGCGGCCGGGGGGCCGGATGTGGCCCTTTGCTTGCTGTTTTCCGGCCTTTGGGGCACTATTTCATCCACTGACACCAATGGAGGGGCACAATTCCTTCCACGACATCAGCATTGCGGCACAATTTCTCCCACTGATATCAGAGATGGGGAGCTATTCCTCCTACTAACACCAAAGATGGATTATTGTCTAGGCCAGGGGCGGACTGACAACTCATGGGGCCCCCAGGCAATAGGGGATCATGGGGCCCCTGTGTCCTTGCCCAAACTCAAAAAAGCCTATGAAAAAGGTACCAGGGGCATCTCATGGGGCCCCCTACTGACCCCAGGCCCTCGGGCAGTGCCCGAGTTTCCAAATGGTCAGTCCGCCCCTGGTCTAGGCCCACTGATGTCAGGACCTTTTCTACTGCCAATAGCCACAGTCTGGCCCCCTTAAAGTCTGAAGGACAGTAAACTGGCCCGTTGTTTAGAAAGTTTGGAGACCCCTACTGTAAAGCATTGCACCTGCGATCAGCAGATTGTCAGTATATCTGCTCACCTGCACGGGATGTACAAGCAAGCTGATATACTGATAGGAAGACTCAATGAACTACCACAGTGCTCCACGGCCCCGTGACCGTTCATTGAGGACTATGAGCCGACAGTCGCTAAGGCTGTCTGGACTTTTAGTTTCCCAACCGCAGAGGAGCGACAGACACATTTTAAAAAAATTTTACATCTTCATGTTGAACATTGTTGCACTTTGGGAAAGAATAGGCAGATCATTGAGGTGTGAATGGGGGCTAAAGTGTTACTTTGGGGTAGTTAACTCTAGCATTAGTCCTCTACACAGCGATCCACAGTGGACTGCTCTTTAGAGGGTGTTTGATAGGCAGTGAGGAGGCATTATGTCACCTCCTTGCTTCCTATTGTAACAGTTAAACCCCCCCCTCTAAAACACTTCAACCATGTGCACTGCATACAAGTTTGGGGCAGTTGCAGCATGACAAAAAAGGTTGTGTTACAGCACTGCCCACTAAGGGAGGAAAATTTTTCCTGAGCCACAATTCAAAGCATGACGACCATGGCATGTGGACAACCCCATCTATTGCCTTTTGCAGCGTAAGGGGGAGCGGTTGGTGGAGGTAAAAACAAAGCTCAACTGTGTGTTTTTACCACCTCTCCACCGCAAGTCTTTTACATTAAGCCACATCCATGCTTTCAGAAAAGACATAAAATGTTTAAAGTCATACTGTAGCTAAACGAAAAAATCTTGTTCTTCTATCTATCTATCTATCTATCTATCTTATCTATCTATCTATCCATCTATCTATCTATTATCTATCTATCTATCTATCCATCTATCTATCTATTATCTATCTATCTATCCATATCTATCTATCTATCTATCTATCTATCTATCTATCTATTATCTATCTATCTATCTATCTATCTATCTATCTATCTATCTATCTATCTATCTATATCTATCTATCTATCTATCTATCTATCTATCTATCTATCTATCTATCTATCTATCTATCTATCTATCTATCTATCTATTATCTATCTATCTATCTATCTATTATCTATCTATCTATCTATCTATCTATCTATCTATCTCTGTCCCACTCTCTGGTTCTGTCTCTCTCTCTATTGATCATTCTTTCTCTCGCTATTTTTCTCTATTGTTCATTCTCTCTCCCTTGTTCATTCTTGTTCATTTTTTCTCTCATTCATTCTCTTTCATTCAATAATTCTTTCTCCTTCTTTCTCTCCCTCTATCATTCATTCTCTTTTTTTCTCTCCCTCAATCTCGTTGATTTTGTCACTGTTTCCCTCTCTCATTCATTCTCTCTCATTCATTTTCTCTCTCTCTCTGTTGATCATTTTTCTCTCTCTATCCTTCTCTCTTGTTCATTCTCTCTCCCTTGTTCATTCTCGTTCATTCTTTCTCTCTCGTTCATTCTCTCTCCCTCTCATTCATTCTCTCTCATGCATTCATTCTCTCTCTCCCTTCATTCATTCTCTCTCATTTTCTTTCCCTCTCTTTTGTTCATTCTCTCCCTCCCTCTCTCGCATCCATTCTCTCTCTCTTTCGTTAATTTTTTTCTCTCTCCCACTCTTGTTCATTCTCTCTCTCATTAATTTTCTCTCTCTCCCCCTCTGTTTCGTTCATTCTCTCTAGCCCTCTATCTTGTTCATTCTCTATAATTCATTTTTATTCTCCCTCTCCTTCATCCATTCTCTCTCTCCCTCTAGTTCTTGTGCCCTTCTCTCTCTCTCATTCCCTCTCTCATTCATTCATTCACTCTCTCACTCTCTTCCTCTAGGGCCTTTTCTCTCTCTCCCTCTCTTTCATTCATTTTCTTTCTCCCTCTAGTTTTGTGCCCTTTTCTCTCTCTCTCCCTCTAGTTCTTGTGCCCCCCCTCTCTCTCTCTCCCTCCCTCTCCCTCTCTCCCATTCTCTTTCATTCCCTCTCTCCCTCTCTTTCATTCATTCTCTGTATCTCTCCCTCTAGTTCTTTTGCCCTTTCCTCTCTCTATCTTGTTCTTTTGCTCTATTTTCTCATTCTGTTGTTCATTTACTCTTTTTTTCCTCCATTTTGACATCTTTTTGCTCTATTTCTCTTTTTCAAAAGAAGGGTTTTCTTCATCTACAGCCATTGAATGGAAATGCTGTTCAAATATAGGCGGTGTGCCCGGTGTATGCAGATACTTGTTAGCAGGGCCATGTTACGTGCTGAATGAGCCTTTATTGACCCCTGGAGACATCAGACGTTGACATGTACAGGCTCACACAGACAAGCTAAGCCGTACAATGTTGGCCTTGGTTCTTGTGTTAGTCCTTGTGTTGACATAGATTTTTCTTTCATCAGTCCTAGTACAACACGATGAGTGAACAGACAGGGGGGGGGGGGGCTGAGGCAAGTATCTGTCTTTAAAGAGAAATTATTATAGCTTGAGGTTACATTTATTTAAATTGTTTTCTGCTGACAAGTCTTCATGTTAGGGCCCCGTTCACACTTTGCTGTTCTTGTGCGTAGCGCTGACACATGCGCTTTACTATGCGTTCTGCATTGAATTAGGGCAACCCATTCATTCTGAATTGCCAGTGCACAAGAGCGGAGGTAAAAAACATACATGCAGCATTTTATCTGATGCAATGCAAACGTGTGATCCAACATTAAAATATATAAAGCCAAATCTCATATGATCTCTAAGAAGCTCACGCCATTTCAAAAGTCGCTTTCAATATTTTTAAATCTGCAGCTGTCATGAGCCACTTCCCCTCTGGAGCACTTTTTTAATTTTTGGCATACATGTTTAAAATCTGCCCATATGGCTATGAAATTACTTAAAGCGGAGCTCCACCCAAAAGGGGAAGTTCCACTTTAAGCCTTGTCCCCCGCTCCCCATTAAGCATTGGCACCTTTGGGGGGTGGGAAAGGGGGGGGGGTATTTGTAAGGTACCTGCTCCCACCTAGGTGATTGGAAGCTGAAGTTGTCCTCCCTTCAACCATTAAAAAAAAAAAAAAAAGTTATAATCCTATACCCACAGTTGATCCAGAGGAAGGAAAAAAAAACTGCAAAGCATGATCCAATTTGCTCCTGCAGGGAAAAAAATTCCTTCCAGATCCCCCGAGATATTCCCTGGATCAACTTTACCTATAAATGTTATATCCAGTTATATTCTGTGTATCTAAGAAAGAACCCAGGACTTTTGTAAAGCAATCCACTGAGCTGGCCATAACCAACTCTTGATTGAGTCTATTCCACATTTTCACAGCTCTTACTGTGAAGAAACCTTTCCGTGTTTGGAAATTAAATTTCTTTTCCTCCAGATGTAAAGAGTGCCCCCTTGTCCTCTGTGATGACCTCAGGGTGAATAGCTCTACACCGAGTTCGCTATATGAACCACTGATGTATTTATACATGGAGATCATATCCCCCCCTTATGTATTATACATGGAGATCATATCCCCCCCTTATGTCTTATACATGGAGATCATATCCCCCTTATGTATTATACATGGAGATCATATCCCCCCTTATGTATTATACATGGAGATCATATCCCCCCCCTTATGTATTATACATGGAGATCATATCCCCCCCTTATGTATTATACATGGAGATCATATCCCCCCTTATGTATTATACATGGAGATCATATCCCCCCTTATGTATTATACATGGAGATCATATCCCCCCTTATGTATTATACATGGTGATCATCATATCCCCCCTTATGTATTATACATGGAGATCATATCCCCCCTTATGTATTATACATGGTGATCATATCCCCCTTATGTATTATACATGGAGATCATATCCCCCCTTATGTATTATACATGGAGATCATATCCCCCCTTATGTATTATACATGGAGATCATATCCCCCTTATGTATTATACTTGGAGATCATATCCCCCCTATGTATTATACATGGAGTCAGCATATCCCCTTTATGTATTATACATGGAGATCATATCCCCCCTTATGTATTATACATGGAGATCATATCCCCCCTTATGTATTATACATGGAGATCATATCCCCCCTTATGTATTATACATGGAGATCATATCCCCCCCTTATGTATTATACATGGAGATCATATCCCCCTTATGTATTATACATGGAGATCATATCCCCCCTTATGTATTATACATGGAGATCATATCCCCCTTATGTATTATACATGGAGATCATATCCCCCCTTATGTATTATACATGGAGATCATATCCCCCTTATGTATTATACATGGAGATCATATCCCCCCTTATGTATTATACATGGAGATCATATCCCCCTTATGTATTATACATGGAGATCATATCCCCCTTATGTATTATACATGGAGATCATATCCCCCTTATGTATTATACATGGAGATCATATCCCCCCTTATGTATTATACATGGAGATCATATCCCCCCTTATGTATTATACATGGAGATCATATCCCCCCTTATGTATTATACATGGAGATCATATCCCCCTTATGTATTATACATGGAGATCATATCCCCCCCTTATGTATTATACATGGAGATCATATCCCCCCTTATGTATTATACATGGAGATCATATATCCCCCTTATGTATTATACATGGAGATCATATCCCCCTTATGTATTATACATGGAGATCATATCCCCCCTTATGTATTATACATGGAGATCATATCCCCCCTTATGTATTATACATGGAGATCATATCCCCCCTTATGTATTATATACATGGAGATCATATCCCCCCTTATGTATTATACATGGAGATCATATCCCCCCCTTATGTATTATACATGGAGATCATATCCCCCTTATGTATTATACATGGAGATCATATCCCCCCTTATGTATTATACATGGAGATCATATCCCCCCTTATGTATTATACATGGAGATCATATCCCCCCCTTATGTATTATACATGGAGATCATATCCCCC